GAGTAAGTGTATACCTATAAATGCGCAAAGAGAGATAAGATAGTATCAGTTAAGAGATATAAAATCACAGAAAATAACATATCAAGCTGAAATTTTTAGAAATAATAGAGGGAAACAGCAAATAAAAATTTATACAGAAAATAATATCAGCTATAAAACCTGCACGTAGCAAAGGTCATGAAATCATTAGAATAAAAATTCATTAGCTTATTATTAATGTAAAAATTTTCATTTTGAACGAGTATTTTTGCCCAGTATCTCTTTCGAAGATGTATTATCAAACGAAAAAAATGCCACATCCCTTCGTGCTGCTAATGACTGCCTCATTATTCTAATGGGTCATAAATTTGACTGAGTTCATAACCTTCTCGTACCTTCCTAATATCCTAATGACATGCACAGAGCTTAGAGAACGAGGAGGACTTGAAAAATTATAATGTTCATCCTTCAGAAGCAAGCAGCACAAACATGCTGATGATAATTACGTAAAAGACTATTTACATATTTTTAAAAAAATTTTTGATGAAAAAGTAAATAAATAAAAAGATCTAAGATTCTTTAAAAGAACTGTTTAGAAATACATTTTTTATTCTGAAACTAAATTATCACCTTGTATATTTAAATATAATGAAATTGGAGAAAGTATCGCTCTTTCTAAAAAAAAGAAATTGTATTGTGCAATTAAAAAATGCTACGAAAATCATGGGACTTATATTTCTAAACGCAAATGAACAATACTGCTTGTAAAAAACAAAAACAAAACAAAAAAAAACAAAACAAAATCAAGCATTTTTTATATGCTTGGTGGGAGTAAGCAGTAGAAAAAAGCCAATATTTTTAATATTTGTTCGCCGCTCCCCTATTTCTAAAACTTATTTTGAAAGTTCCCTCTCTGATCTCCAGAAACAGAAATACCTACCCAAACACAATACCAATATTTTTAAGAACCTTTGCGTCAACATTTGAAAAATAACAGTGACAAACTTAGAAACCATAGAGAACCATAGATAACCATAAAGAACCATCTTAGAAACCATAAAGAACAATGACATGCCATTCAAAGCTGTACACGTCACAGAATACTTTACAAAATAACTTAATTGACAACAAATGGATGATATATAGAGATATAGAGATGAATATTAAAAAAAAAGGGGGAATATAAAAATCGCCGACAGGGAAAATTTTGGCATTGTCGGAACCAAAAATAGATCAATAATCATAAGGAATGCGCAGAAAATGGATTACGCAAAATTTCACTATTGTTTCAGCTATAAAGCATGCACATATACATAAAGATTAACATACAGCCCGAAATTCATAGAAAATAATCTTTTTAATCAACATTAGGGTTCCCTGGACTACGTGCAGCATTTTCTGTGTGCTGACTTACCCTGTGTATTGCATCCGGTGTACGAAATTGTACACTCCTGCACATAAACTGTCTGTTTGGATGCATGTTACAGCCCGTCTTATGTTCTCTCCCAAGGACTCAGGTTTGTAACGCCACCAGTACACACAAGAGACTTCACGTAGCCCCACAGCCAAAAGTTACACGGGGTTATGGCCAGGGAACGAAGCTTACATTCCATTTGAAAATACTGATTGATAACTGTCTCATTACCGAAATGCTGGAATAAAAATTTTTCTAGGGAACGAAAAATATACGGCCGTACTCCATTTTGCATAAAAATTGCCAAATCCAAGCATTGTCTTTGCTGCAATTCAAGAACAACAAAAGTTTTTGCCATTTGCAGATACATTTCGCACTAAGTTATGGTGCAGGCGACAGGACATGCAAGAGTGATATTCTCAAAAAAGTATGGCCTTTAAGCAAATTAGCCGTGAATCCATAACACACAGTTACTTTTGCAGGACGCATGGCACTTGATAGATAACTCTGAGTCGCTCCGATGCCCACATTCGCAGCTGTCAGTATTGACGAAACCATTCAGAAAAAAATAAGCATCTTTCCACAATAGTTTCAAAGGCCAGTAATTATCGATTTCTATTCGGGTAAGAAAGTTTAGCATGAAAGTCAAGCGCTTATCATAATCTGTCATTATTAGTTCTTGTGCACGATTGATCCTATACGGATAGCAATGTAGCATGTTACCGACGATTTTCTTGGCAATAGCATGAGGCATATCGGTTTGGCAAGCTTATTGCACGATCGCTTGGATAACTGCTAGTCCATGCTGATTACTGCAATGTCAACTTCTGTTACTTCATCGTCTGATACTGCTTTTTACTGCCTGCTGGCTCTAACTCCAAGCGATTCAGTTTCCTCAAATTTTTTAATCATACGTCTAAGTGTTACAATTGAACACTGGAGCTTTACACATGTTACTGAATTTCCTACGTTGCAACATTAGACTCTCCAGTGTAAATCAGCTTTACGCTCAAATAAGGTAGGGCGCATTTTCGTCATAAATCAACAGGCAATGCAAGAATTATTAACTCAATTAAATATCCAGATACGACTTTGTTTATACTGAGTTTCTTCTTCTTTGTTTATACTTCTAAGTAGTACTTCCGAGTAATCTCAATTAATTTCACAACGAGTTTTGTGATGAGAGTTACCAGAATAAAATTCTCAAGGCGAGTCAACATGAAGGTAGGATTAAAACAGAATGAGACACTTTGGTAGAAATTTCATAGTCCAAATCTTGTCTGTAAAATCTTTGAAGTGGCGTCAGCTAGTGGGAAGTAAGTCCGCCAAGCAGGAACTCAGGAAAATTTTTATTTGGAAAGTAAAGATGAAAAGTCGAAATCGCATGGGAAACGACGTCATGGAATAGGGAGAGAGATCATATGAGTATCAAAGCAAATTAAGAACTGGTCTCGATGGAATCAAATAAAATTATTTAAAAGAATTCCGAAATAGTTTCATATGGAAGCTTCTTGATCATACTGAATAAATGTGCACCGTACAGTCATCTGAAGTAGTTGTCTCGAATTTTTTCGTAGTTTAATATATCTGATAATTCTACAGTGCTATTCTGTTCAGCTTTTCGGTAGAAATTGTTATTAAGCTTGTTCAGGTACTCATTAATGTATTCGATTTTTAGGTCTTTATATATATATATAAATATGGAGCATCACTGACGAATCGGAGATATTTATTTTGAATGATCTGCATTTTATTGAAGTCATTCTTAGTTGCATTAGCCCAAACTGCAGATGCATAGGCGAGAAACGGACGTATTGCAGTAGTGTAGATTCTTTTCTTCCGAGAAATATCGAGTACTGAGGAATCACAGAGAAACAAAGTTTCCACATAATTTACTACGCTTTTCTTTGAATTAGCTTATGTGGATGGACCAGGTGTAAGATCTATTAAATGTGACTCCAAGATACTTGGCATTGTTCGACAGTCGTTATTAGCTCGTCAAAGAGGGTAACTGAGTTTGTAATACAGTCCTTCACTTTATACTTTCTGATAAGGAGAATCTGGTATTTAATACGGTTGATACTTCTTTTCCATTTTTCACACCACCTTTCGATACCACGAATTTGCGTTGCAGTCTTTGGAGGGTATGTTTCGATTTATGAGATTTTTCAACAAGTGTCGTCAGTGTAACATGTTAACATGAAATTGTGATCTTGAGAAATGTTTGGAAAGACGTGTACATATAGTAAATAGAGGACAGAGCCCAGGATAGAATGCTGTGGAACTCTTGCTCGGATGGAATATGGCTGAGTGCAGTAGTCTCCCTGCTTCACTGAGACACTTCTGTTTTCTAGGAAGGACTTCAAGATCAGGAAAAATTTACGAGGAAACTTTAGCCGAATCAGCTTGAAATAAAACCTTTACCTGACGCGGTCAAGGGCTTTGGCCACATCTAGTAAGATCATTGCGATGTTCAGTTTGTTACGAAGAGCAGCTGCAATGAATACAAAAATTTGAATAAGCTAGTGAGTAATTGAGAACCATTTCCTAAAGCTACACGGTTCCTTTGGAAAGAGACTGAGATGAGGATGAAGTCTGGTATAAATGATTGTTTCAAGAATTGTTACCAGTGAAGAGAGGAGACAGATGTGCCTACTGACTCAACGTTCGCTCTTCCCTTTTAAAAAGGGGTGTGACGTACGCACAATCTAAGTATATTATGCAAATCTCCTAGTACGTAGCAGTGTCCAAATCTCCTCTATCGGTGGTTTTGATATTAGTTTCATTTATCATACAGCAATAAACGTCAAAATTTAAAAAAAAAAAAAAAAAAAAAAAAAAGATATACTAAAATCAGCGAAAAGGCGTTATTTTCCATTTTTTGTAATAAATTTCCTAGAAAATTAATTTTGAAACGATTTAAAAAAAACACACATTAAAATCCCGACTAACAACAGTATTACACGAAACGCCAAATGTGGGATAGTTTAAGATTTGCATTAACTGCGCAACAACGGCGAATTGGAGCGTCCCATAAACTTGGATTCGAAATTTGATACATATAAATTGTAAAAACGCATGACATGCTATCTTTCAATGCCAAAAATAACTTCATTTGAATCATGTAACAACAGCAGATGCGACAAAAAGTGGAATCATTCAGTTTCACTGCATATCCGACACTGTTCTGTTTTTTCTCCTTCTTCCTTGATTTATACTAATATTATAATTTAATAAAACTTTGCCATCCAAAATGTATTAAAATATTATCAATAAACATACATATTTTTAGTACTTCATTTTGTTTTGCCTTTCGGAATATCTCAGCAATCAAATGGTATTTCAAAAACTGTAAACGGATATCTTTTCATTGTGACAATATCACAAGTTGTAACGTTGATTAAGAGACACCCTACGTATCAGCCCATACTTATGTTCGTACAACAAGAAAAACAAAAGCACGGCTCACATATTAATTTTGGATCACATGTGTACAACGGCGGAGAAATTTCAGCATTAATTTCAAACAACCTGCAAATTTTTCTTGTCATACGATGTAAAGGGCATTCAATAGACACTTTTAGGACACGTTAGAAAATGGTCTTACCTTCTTCTTCAGTTCGAAGTTTGAACGGTTCGGAGGACTCTCCCCTCCCTACGTCATTTTCTGCGACTACTCTCAGCAGATAGGTAGTTCCAGGCTGCAAATCGTTCAGGAGGACGGTTGTCTGGGTAGCGGGCACACTTCGCTCTTGAAGGCGATGAGATGCCCCTGAAAAACAGAAAGAATTCACTACAGCCGTAAACTTAAGACATATTTAGTCTTCAGCAAGAATGTTGTGACTGGTAAAATAAACACTCTCATTTTTGTTTTGTTTGTTTAAACAAAAATAAAGCTGCTACATACTGGAGATGAACACGGGGACACTTGATGTCTAAGTGAGCAGGTTTTTATCTCGTATCTTCCACTATGTAGAGACGTCAACACACCGAGGCTACTAATAACACTCTATCGGGAGTTCATTAAAAAAAGATACAGTTTTGATATACGTAAGCATAGAGGTGGGCAGAGATTCTGCTCATATATAATAGTTTGTTTTCTGTTTACAGAGTAATATTCAATAGCATATGTATGACCGTTGTACACAGTAGATGCTACATACATAATTGCGCAAGAACATTGCACATAAAATTAAAAAATATAAACTAAAATTCAAATGTTCGCCAAAAACAACGTGGACTAAAATGTCGCAGAGCAATTTAACTGTTTACTCTCGCGTTGTTTAAAATGATAAACAACATTTACTCTTGCGTTGTTTTAAATGATAAACAACGCAAGAGTGAAACGTCGTTCTACATCTTGATGGAAAAGAAAACATCGAAGTTCTAAAATATCACGGTATAAAACAATGCCAATAAAATAAAACAGTTAAAACACTTTGCAGTTTTAAAATTTCGTCGTATAATTTAATACATAAAAAATAAAGCACCTACAGATTATCGTATGATGATAATATCGCAGACATGTGTTTTTAGACAAAAACTTTAAATGCTTTTTCGCATAATGATTTAAGACCGCAAGTAGAAATGAAAAATATTTTTATCTATGCATTTTATATTTTTGAATAAAGTAAAAAAAAATACTGAAAAAGCAAGAAGGAAACTTAAGCATGCAAAATCCGAAAAATGTGTAGAAATTTAAGATACGTCAACTGAATTTTAAAACCTAGGTAGTTCATTATTAATCCTCTATTCGGCATGAGTTTCGCTAAGAAATCTTAAATTTCTCACAACTGATATGAGAAAGAGGTATTTTCTTTATTTTAATTCTAAAACGCCCCTGCTACTTTATTCTTAGATTTATGTACTTTTAATATATCGCCTTAATTTCTTGGACATATTTTAAGAAGCATGTATAAATGCTTTCTTTTAAAGACATTGCACAAAATAATCTAGGTCGTATATATACGGCCTTGCCGATCAGAGGAATTTAAAAATAATTTTTAAATATCCCTTTTATAAAGTTGTATATTTTCATGAAAAATGTACTATAAAATGATTCAAAAAAGGAAGATGAGTCAATGAAGTGATCTATATTCAAACTGTTTAATTACTTATATTGTCTGCAATGTTATCTGAAACAAAAATACAGTATTAAAATTTTTGATTACCTGCAAGCAAATAAATTTACGAAAGAGAAAATGAGAGAACAAATGGATGGCCAGGCAAAATTACTTAAAAGCACACTGTTCCCACTGGTTGACTATACAAGAAATCTGGTAAGTAGTAGGCTTATCGCGTTGAATAATCTGTTGTTTTAAATGATTAAGCGGCTGAATCAATCAGTGGTCGAACACTATCCTGCGTTACTGAAGACCAAGTAGATAAGAAACCACTGACTGGAGTCCATGCTTTTATTTCGTAAGCCTATATTAGAACCAAATCAGGTCCCACAGATCCTCAACTGGAAAAATGATTGGATGTTAACTTTGGACAAAGAGGATCATTAGGATACCTTGTTTGTTGATTAAGCGCAATATGTTACAGCATACGAAGACTATCTGTCAAAGGAGATTAATGATTTCATAGAGGATATTTACGGTTCATAATGGGTCTTATCCTGTTATATATGTTGAACTTCACGAAAGTATACTTATTCAGCTACTTGTATGCTGGTATTAAACCCGAGAGTCGAATAACCAGTGTTCGTCCGGGACATCTTACAAAACCTGTTTGGTGAATTAATTGTGTGCTGAAAAATGGCATTTGGCCTATTCTGAAAATAGGATAGTGCAACCAGTGATTGACGGCAACGTATCGCTGTGCTATTAATGCGCGCATTATAGGCACTAGAGTTGACTAGATGTTGCAGTTAAATATGACCCCAAATCATGACCCCATCCTGGTGATACGTATGGGGCTAAGAAATGGCAGATGGATCAGCCATATGACTGCATCGCCTTCACACTCGCAGTTGATCACTACAGCTACGAAAGAGTCGAGATTTGTCGAGGAATACCACATCTTTCATGCTAAGCAATTCTAATACTGCTCTACTGGCTTGTACAAGTATCATATACTATAACAGCAGATTTCTCAAACGAGTGTCTTGAAAGCTTAGCTTAGTCTCGTTATGAATTGATTTTGATGATACTAGAATAGAATTTAATTCATCCTCTGTAACTCGCTAAATGTCACAATCTAAGAAATGGGGAACCCTTCATACCATTATTATTATACGAATATTGTGACGTTTCTCTGAATACTCTGGTATGATGATTTCACAATTCGTGCATTAGATCAAATTCTACGAGAAATGCCGTTCACTTTTTTGGCGGCAAGGGGGAGTGTGCAATACAACTTACAGACTGACAAATTGCACGTAACCCTCTACTAAAACCTCGAGTCTAGCTTATACGCTGCATGCCATTCAATGTTTTTGGTGGGCTGCTATACAATGCAAGACCAACAGACTGCAAGCAGCCCTTTACGTTTAAACATCGAGTGAAACCATAAATTCAGCAAAATTATCACCAACATCGTTAGTGCCATAGCCATAGGTCGCGATATGCATTGCATAAACTTGACGTAGAAGTTCAATCGCTGGGTGCCGCAAGTGCTGACTCAAGCAGATAAGGACAGACGTGTTCGGGCCTGCACTAATCTGCTAGAATATCAACGAATCGAAAAAATTCTGAAGCGGAGTTCTTCATCTTTCAGCTCCTTACTGTGTACTGTATCATTTGATAATTATGACTAAAATAAAATATAGTGGTATACAATATCTTGTGAATTGTACATTTTGTGTATGTGTGGTGTGACAGAGAAAGATTTTAGAAAGAGAAAAAAAGGGATTTTTTACCTTCTATATCTTTCCAGTAGTGGACAACGTACTGCGTAATAGGACTGTTGCCATCGAAAGGACTGGACCAAGACACAGTGGCCGCTCGACTCCAAACTTCTCCAACCTTCACAGACACAGGTCGCTCTGGAGGTTCTGAAAACATCAACCAATACTGTTGAAATATAGTGTCAAAAATTTGAACAATGATAAAATAAATGCAATCACATTTTCAGCAAAACAGGGAAGATTATTTTATTCTCAGTGCTAAAAACTATTTAAATATAAAGATAATACAATATAACAAAATGAAAGGTATGAAAATTTATATCGGAAAAGTACTTATAACATAAAGTTTGGGTTTACGAATTCGCAAATGGAATTTTTCGGAAAAAAGTTTATCCTCCCCATGCGCCATTAAAGCGCATGAAAGAAACTTTTATATCCGCCGGATATAAAAGTACAGGAGAAATATAAATATCTGAGTAAGTAAGTAAATAGATTTCATTCTGTTACTGCTATATTCTAATAGCAGAAACAGTATAAAATCTTCTCTATTCTAATAGCAGTAACAGTATAAAATCTGTTACTGCTATTAGAATGCTATAATAATCTGGTTTCCAAGACACCCTCCAATGCGGAAGAATTTCTAGTTCTTAAGACGGGGGTGAAGACTGAGGATAGAGAAAATCTGTTATATACTGAAATCTTCTAGATAGCTAGAGATATCTCGGACAGTTTTTTGACAGCTAGGTTTAGCACATCTAGGTGTTTCTTGACATTATTCGTGAAAAACATCAGCTACAATCAGAATCAACGGCCTTCAGTATTTCAAAGACCCTTTTGTTGGGTTCTAAGGGTTCGTGGATTTGGAGTAATTGATGATAACACTTGAAGAAGAATCAAAACACAATTTATTCGCCAGTACTACACAAAAAGTTCCAAAGACACGTTTACATTCGTCGAAAAACTATGGTAAACACGCTGAAACAATCAGCAACTCAGCTTTCAGGGTATAACGGTGAAGACAGCTTCACGGTAAAGCCCTGAGTACAACTCCCAACTCGCTCGATCGCTCTCAAGCTAATCCCTGAACTCAAGTCACTACTGCATTACTGAATTCAGGATATTACTTTCTCCGCATACAGGCAGGGTAAAGCTAACTTCGAGAACATTCCCAACGAAAACCTCTAAGAATGCGTTCTAGAATGTTCTCGCTCCGCCTATGGCTATTCGGAAATTTTGTCGTCAAATGGGCGATTTCGCGCCAAAGCTGGCAACCCTGACTTTCCCTACAGCTTTCTGGCAATCCTAACTCAGCTTTGCGGAAAAACTTTCTTAGCGGAGCTGGGCATTTTGCAATAGTATTATAGATGCTATTATAGCTAAATACTAGGAGCAGCATGTGAAATGAACTCCTCGATTATTGTCAGCATGAGCTACATCGTGCCATGAGGCACACTGAAATTCATTAAGATCATTACAAAAAAAAAAAAAAAAAAAAAGTGGTATTTTAAATATATGTAATAAGTACTTCGAGAGATATAACTTCTTTTATTTTGAATATCTTTTATCCGGAAAACCTGCATTATAAGCAACAGATCATAGTAATAATATGCCATTCTGATAAGCAATAACAAAGCAACCCAAAAAACATGCTACCTGAAAATTTGAAAACAATGCAACTTTTTAAAATCTTAAGCCATCCAGGCGAAATAGTATCTCCTGGCTTTCTTTTCAAAGATCTCGCGAAGATTTGCGAAAAATAACTACAAGGTAAGAATAAAAAATTTTACAGGATACTGAAAATAAATTTTGCTTATATTACTGATATATATTTTTGCGAATATATATCAGTAATATAATTTGCAAATAAGTTGAAGCCCCTTTGCATTTAAATAATTGTGCTATTACTTGCTATTAATACGAAATTCAATGCTTTCAAAATCTTTAATTCTTATTTTAAATATTAGAATTTAAAATCTAATCTGAGGAAGTTATAACGAAGTAAAATAAAAATTTTAAATGAAATTGAATATAGACCTACTTTGCAATCAAATATGAAATTATTGACACTTGCTCTAATGAGCAATTTCAGTTATGAATTAAATAAATTATGGGTATTTTCCCCTCAGAACAAGAATATAGCGCAATGTTTTTAACAATGTCCCTGACTGCGAGGGAAAAAAATCACACTGGTTTTTATCAGTTGACGTTCTTCTAATTTTTCTTTTTTTCCCCACTTTCTTCCTTATTGATTGTAAAATTTGATTCCCTCTTTTTGGTTTCGAAAATTATACCATCTTGGAAGGATGGCAGAGGCTACTAAATGCCTTCAGATGAAAATTCTAACTTCTAGAAATTGTAAGACCGAATTCATACCAGCTTTCGGACCGACTGATTTTGCCAACTATTTTCTGTAGATTTTCCATACAATTTTTCCCTCTGTTGGTATCAACATAATGTACTTTTCACAACCTAGACAAATATGAGCAATTTTAAGGATATATTATTCTCAAGATAAAATTATATCACTCAGACGGTATAGCGGTTAGGGGAGGTAAACCGCTGAGTTGGCTTCCGACCCAGGTATAGATATATCCATGCAAAATTGGTTAAGCCTACTGCGGTACCGAAGGACCCGCAGTAGAATCTCGGAAAAGACATGGATGTTTGTAAATGAATAGTGTCCGTGTGGCAGGGGGGTACTCTAAATATGTGGCGAGCCGAAAGTCATCTCGTGTGGCTTGGTGGAAGTGAAGAGGGGTAGGATACCCTCTAATCAACCCCCCGGGGTGCTCTTCCTTAAAATTGGAGTGGAAAATAGAAGTTCAACCTCTATTTGGAGTAGAAGTCCAACTTCTGGCTACCATTCTTCCATGTTATATGAACACGACAACAACAACACAAGATAAAATTATTGTGCTTACGAATTTATCTTTAATACTTATCAAAGAAAAAATAAGGATAAAGTAAAAAACAATCATGTTACATATTAGAGAATAAGATTACGATTCTTCAAGACATTCCTTGTAAAATAGCTAGAATTTTGCTTGCCGGTTACTATAGAATTGAAAAAAACTCACTAAAATAATTTTAATGACTTTATCACCGAAAACATCGTTTAAATATTATCATATTAAGCTAAATAAATATTTTAGTACCCGAACTTTGGTTAGGCATTAACTTCAAATGAAAAGGTTCTATGTATTTTAAAAGGCAACCAAACCGCACCTCTTCATTATTATTCAATTAATCTGAGCATGAGTATCAGTTTACTCGTCTTGAAGAGATAGTGTAATATGTTATTTATCGCCATTTATTGTGGGAAATAGAAGAAAACCGAAATCTACGAATTAAGGTGTAGAAAGCGTTCGATAGCGATGCCTGGTAATGAAGTCATTAAATAAAATTGGCTTTGAAGACTATGGAAATCAGTCACGGCGATTCGATTCGCCATCTTAAGAATTTCAGATCTATTTACTACTTTTATTTCATTTTAATTTTAACTTAATTTTTTGACACAAATTCACTAACTGATTAAATAATTATGATAAAAATAGACAACTTCTGAAGAAAATCTACTCAAACTTTTTTATTTTACACTAACTGGCCCTCCCGAGATTCTTGATACGCGTAACAAAATAGAAAGTTGAATGTTTTCCACGGATATCTTCCAGAGATTACGGAAACCTTCGAAGACAGAATTTCTTTGGATAGTTCATGCATGTTTAGCTACAATAGATTGTCTGACTCTGATCTAATTAACTTGAATTGAAGATAACTTTTCCTTTGCCACAGTTTATAAGCATTTACTTAGAAGATATGGTTACAGGTCTCGCTTTAATTTATTTGCGTTTCAACGTGGATATTTCGTCGTTTCGCACATTATATCTTTTATGAAAAGTAGGAATGTTAATGATAGTTTACTTCATTTCAAGTACCCTTTGTTTGAAACACGCCTTTCTATAATAAACAAATTCTGCTAGTGTTCTTGCATTGTATAAGAACATTATTTTCAATAAGGAATTTTTTCATAACAAACTTAATGAAAAATAACTTTACCAACTATCCTCAAAATTATGGTGTTGTTGACTTCTCCAAATTTATTCTTTGCAGAACAAGTGTAAGATCCTCCATCATTTCGATGCGTGGAGAGAATTGTGAACTGAGCGATCACCCCTGTAGCTGACAGTTCTTCATTTATTTGGACCCTGCAAGAGAGAGATGACAAACAAAACAACTTCTACTTTTAAGCATGAAGCACATCAAACAAAAAATTGTAGAGGTTATAAGGCATTTTCTTACTTGATCGGTCATGATGAATGACTCAGTATAAATTAAAATGACTCAGTATAAATTAAACATATAAATAATTCAAAGCAAAATATACTTATTTGCTTGTCGATTTTAAGAATAATTTAGCAGGTTCTCTCCAAAAATCAGAGATGTAAGCATATGCCGTTGTCGCCTAGGTTGGAAGTCAAGCCCGATACTTACAATTAAGGGTGAAAGAATGATACACAAGAAGTAATCTTTATTTCCTTAATAAAATATCTAAGAATTGTTAAAAAAACTTTTAATAACTTTGGCTTGTTGTTTACACTTATTCTTGTTTTCTTGACCATCAAAACTGCTATACCGTCAAGAAAAGCAGTTATTAGAATCGCCCTCTTTTTTAACAAATAAATAATGTAATGATGGAAGGATGAGATGATTACAATTCTTCAAGTAATTCTGAGGTATAGAACATTCCGAAATCAGTACCCCGAGCATCTGCAGTACAAAAGTAGCTATCATACGACTGGGTATTGAGTCGAATAGAATTTTGGATAGGAGTTACAGCTTCATGCGATTTTTATTCTATGTCAGTTTCCTTTGTTATATTTGCTGGCGAATGATATCATGCCAGTTTCTCTGAAGCCAATTAACTGTACGTTTACAATTGGTAAATGAACTGAAGCATGCGCCTTGGCCAAGGCAGAAATGGACACTCTGTGAACTAAAGAAACGTTGAAGAGATGCGCAACATGCGATCTCCTTATTCTACTGAAAGCTAAGGCGATGAAGGCTCCAAATATATGGCACCTTCCAGGTATTAAAAGCTCAGTACTGTAACGGTACCTGGCCAATGTACCGGATGTGCGGACTAGAAGAGATTGGGTGGTGTATCCAGTGGTACTCCATCCATTAACAGATGATGGGCAGATATGAGGACCAAAATATGCATGTTTGTTCCCCCTCAGTGCTTCCACATGCGAATACTGCCATTATGGTACTGTAAACAAAAACAGTATTTGTGAGAAACTTCTGAAAAAACGACATCATGCCATTGATGCGTCTATGATCATTATTGAACACACAATTACAGGCGTTGATTCCAATGCTGTAGCGTCAAGGAAGATAACGCAAGGTTGCTTCGCTGACATGATATGTAGCTTTGCAGACGTCGTCGCACTGTACGTGCGGAAACTTTGTGTACTGTATAACAAACCCAATTTACTGACCCAGGAATCGTGTTTTGTGTTATATGATCTTGAGCACACCGCTGAGATCCAACACACCCTTCTGCGTGACCCTCTAGCCCTCATCATTAGCAAATTTTCATAACAGTCACTGGATCTCGACCAGTGGAACAGCAGTTGCGCACTGCGGTAATCTACAGGCTACGATTCTCCCGCGATCAATTTCTGCAACATGCCAACTGAATGAGTTCTTTTTTCTTACACAAGGGCAAAACGAAAAAATACAGTAAACACAATTTCCGAATGAAAAATCGATATTTTACCGTAAAAATGTGCTGCATGAAATCTGTCAATGATAAATTAAGCTATGATTTGGAAAATATTAATGAATCATTCGTTTGGGGGAACATTATGTGATTATACCTTTTGAAGAAATTCAATTCAAAAGAGGAAAGAATTCACAATAATATGGAATTCGTAAGAATAATCCCTTGAAAAACAGTATGAATGCTACAGACTTTAGTTACATAATACAATTTACACTATTGAACACTTTAAACTTTACAGTGTACACGTAAAAGCGATATATATATATTTAAAAAAAAAAAATAAAATAAAATAAAAATAAAAAAAAAAACAGATTTTTGTGCAGTTAAATTGGGCTTGAAACCAGAACACGTCTAATAAAAGTTAGGATAAAAAAGAAGAGTAAATGAATGTTAAAAAACTGTATCGATTGAAACCCGTTAACTTACCTTCCTGTAGTTTGCAGACCGACGCCATTTTTAGCCCAAGATGTAATCAGAGGTTGATCTCCTTCGGCTTCACAGACAAGGGTTGTCGACTCGGATTTTCTTGCAGCTTTTATCCGGTAGGCAGATGAGATTCGAGGAGGGGCTAAGAATATAAACATACTAATGAGTATAATGAATCTAATATTACATTGCTACGTATGTATACCTGCAGGTAATATGTATCAAGATCTACCGCGGTTACATGAAACGGCGATATATAGCGAAAGCTACTTATAGCGTGACCATAAATTTACTGGGCGCATTTTCAGTGACGAATCGTGAATGATCTGAAAAGATCATGCCTATTTGTATTACATCATTTGTACACATCAAATTATAAAGCAACTCATGATACATGCACTAGATACTAAAGCTAGTGAATACGGGTTCATGCAGTGGTACGAAACAATATTCCAATCGACATTCGTTCTTTCAAGATGTGTTTCCCAGATTTCCGGCGCTATTATGTTAAGACTTCAGCAATTCTCTGTTTAACTCGTTAACTGCTAACTACGAGATAACTCGAAACAGCACTCTGGTCCTGGACGCGTATACTCGTATTTATCCGCTCTCCCGTAATCCACAGTCTCCCTTTAAAAGGGGAAGTATATAAGGTATTTCGCCCGCCTTCTTATCACGCCTTCGTGATGTAGTGGTCAGCACGCTCGACGCTCGACGGGTATTCGAGAGATCCGTGGTTCGAGTCCCGGCGAGGGCATTGCTCATTTTTTATCATTTCTGCTTTCAAAAAGTCCTAATGTCTCTAAAACTATGAATGTTTTCACAGTAAATGCGAGCTACTACATACTGGACGCTTAGTGTAAGAGCAGTAAATATGTATTGGAAGAGATAAATAAAGAAAACTAAAAATGAATGACTTTATTCATAAAATTAGATAAAAACGACAGCAGAAATACTGTTTTAAGTTTACTCTTCTATACGAATAAACCAAAAATTCAAATAATTTATAACAGTATCTGTATTGACTGACCGCTAGAAAAGCCTCCCACCTCCGAACCCCTTATTACTTGTATGTTCTTCTAACACCTTTTCAGTTACTTTTCTTTAATGCGACATAATTATTAGGATGATGAACGCGCGAATTATTGAAGGTAAACGGTTTTCTATATATTCGACTACAATAACAATATCCGACTGTCTGAGCGCACAAGAATAATGCGCTCAGATCACACTCATTATCAGTACGCGCAAGAAGTGGTACGAGATGACACATATTGAGCGGGTCAGAACATGCGTACTGGCGATCAATGTATTAGCATTGTTGCATAATCTGCCTGCGTCTCCTTACTTGTGTGAAAGTTGATAAAAGACCATGTTTTCTCAATTACATTACGAGAACTTTTGAAGTCAATACCGAGAACTTTTGAAGTCATTAAAATAAAAAGTGTCCGAAATGCTAGGAAACATGTCATAAAAACTTTGAAAAATCAACGAATAATAAACGCAAAGTGAAGAAGAAACGCTTATTGAAATACTTTAAAGCTTAGTAATATTTCAAAAAGGGCTTGAATTGCTACATAATTTTATATATAATACAAGTAGTTATATTCTTTGATATATATATATATATTTGTTATATTCATCAATGAAATCAGCTTAATAATTTATGACCATGCTGTATAACGTTATTTTCGTCAAACGTGTTTAAATGTGGTAAAACTTGATGAATTATTGTCAGTATAGCGTTTAACAACGTTAAATAAAATGTTCTATATACTGCATTGTGTATTTCGTACACAATGCAGTACATTCGCTTAGTCCTTTAAAAATGAAGAAAATCCTGTTCTTATACTCTCAAGCATCATGTGTAATTTTAGAGAATGATACACAGAAATCTTACTCTATACCAAAGTAACCAAAAATTATTACCAAAAAATATTAAAAACGATCGCACATGCTTATTTGCATTCATTGACAAGGTAGCTTAAGAAAAACAGTTGACAGCAATGCAGGGAATTGTATTTTATAATATTACAAACTGTGTTTTTTTGGACTCACATTGTATAACTTATGAATAATTTATTACTTTAATTTTCAAAACGTTATCTGGGCCGCAGTAACTGTGGATAACTGGAACCGCAGGTATCAAATTAACAAGTTCGAGATAAAAATTATATTAAAAAAACACTTTCGTCACATTTTAGCTAAACATTTGGTGATAGAAAAGTCTTTTTAGAAGAAAGCATTCGAACGGTAGCAAATAAAGGCACATATTTTAAAATATGTACAGAATATGTACATTTTCAACGAGAAAGAAAATAATTTTCTTCAAGGACGCAACTTATCCACTCTGTTACTCGGCTCATTGAGCTCAGTTTTTTATTCTTATATGTTGGTAAATTGTGGATTTTTTGCTTTAAAAATGATTGAATTATATTGTTCTTATCTTCCGGTTAAAATTTTTATGCCTTTAATTAACTTCCACGAAATAGTTGTAGAATTATCAATAATTTAAAAGTTGTTTAAGGGCGGCTAAGCCAAATTTTTTACCATATCAGCCATATTTGTTTACATTTGAAACTTAGCAGGATAGTGGATTTGTTGCCAATCTACAGAAACTAAGCTTCGCATTAACAAAGTTAGCGTCTTCTTTTATTATTGCGACTTAAATCATGCTTAATCCATTATGGAATTATTTAAGTTATTAAATTATCTCATATATTGGCTTGGCATAGCGTCCACAACAAATTCAGTTTCTACGCTTTCTCTGTCTTTTTGCCCAGTGAGAACAAAAATAAACTTTCATTTCTGTGCACCGAAAAATCTACCTTCTTGCCCGCTGGCCGAATGGTTTGTTTTTGCGTAGAAACTCGAAAATTTTAATCGTAAAAATAGTTCTTTAAATTGTTTTAACTGCATTTATGTTTTATATTTTTCAATATTTAGTAAAGATATTTTGAGATTTCATGTATTTTTGCCTTGTCGCGAAGCGAGAACTGAATTAATTGAATGAGAAATATATCTCTAATGAAATTCCAAGAAATAAGTTTAAACGAAAAGCAAGAAAAAATGTGCATAATTTAATATTCCGTACAAGGAAGTCATGTGGTTGTGCACATCAGATTATCAGATTTTTATTATTTATATTACTGTTTCGTCTTCCCCTTTTATTACTTATTTTACGAATAAAGCCGGTGGGTTTTTCTTTGCTCTGGTGCTAACCTCTCTTTCAGCCGATCACTAATCTTTCCCGATTCTAGCTCCCACGTTACCCACTACTCAGTATTTCATTCGTCGATTCCACCCTATAGACATTATTCGCCTTACTTCTCACTACTTTAGATTTATTTTATTATCCGAACTACTATTTACACCTATAGATATGCTACTTAAACGTTAGGCTATTTATATATATTAATCTGGGATAGGGCTTCGGCCCAAGAACCCATGCCTCATGGTCTGCGGAGGAGCAAACAAGCCTAACAAGGAGTGGACAAGGAAAAGGCATTTAACTGCTTTTAGGAAAAGCGATTTTTATTTTCAGCACTATTCAATACTGATTGCACTGTAATTCGGTTGGGTTTTTTATTTTAAGTGAATATTCTTGGGAACTAGACTGTGTACACCTTGTTGCCTTATTTCGATACAAATACATTAGATTATTCAAACTACATGCAATAAAAATTCTGAATATACCTTTAACATTGAGCCTGGCCGACTTTCTCAGACCTTCTCCGACACCGTTGGAAACGTCACATGTATAGACTCCTTCGTCATCCTTGCTAATTTTTTTGAAGATGAGAGAACCATTCTCAGCCACTTTCCAACGTGAATTTTCCACTACAGCCATATCGCTACCGTCATCTGAAAAGAACACAAAAATATTTAACAAAAACAAATAGAAATCCCTTAAAAACACAATCCAAAAGAAAAAAAAGAAAGTTTCTCTCTTTTTGTGAATTGAGGAGTCAGTCTTAGACGACGCAACAAACTACAAGACCATCGAAATCTACAGCACGTTATACCAGACAACTACAGCAGTAACAGCTATAGCATTAATGCTACATTTATTATTAAAAAAAGTTGTTCACAGGATGTAAAAATTTTTGCTAAATACTCTCCCCCATCTAAAAAGGAACAGTACTTGTGGAAAGGAACATACGATGCTGTGTTTCCAAATGACCTTCGACTTTGTGGAGAGACATTCATGATAAATAGAATGAGTCGTAGTGATATTCATGACAAAGAAGCTTAGAATCCGCAGTAATAATATTCATGGAGTGACAGTCCAGAGATTAAATTCCAAATTAACACCTTGTCGAATACAGTATTTCGAGGCATCTTCGCTTCCAAGCATTTACGTAGCTAGTTAAATCTTGTGATTCTTCCTTCTGATTAGCTGACCTACGTGAAACACAGCATCCAACGTAATTTCTTTCCTATTCTTCTTCATATTGCGGGTAAAAATCAGTCGTACAAACCAGTAGTTCTAGAAGAATGGTTTCTACGAAAAACTGCTAGTCACGTTTGGCATTCGTAGATGTGATACGAGTTTAGTGCAGCATGTTACGTACTACATATGAACATGAATGAAATTGCCTTCTTTCGGTGAAACAAATTTAGTAAGCAGCATTAGTGAAGCAATCCGGACACTACAGAGAATTCTTGAAAACATAAAGAATCGCGCTCGAGTGTATCTGGACGCTGATGGCAGAGAGTGCTGTTCCAACATATATAGACATCTCCCAGAAGTTGTGCAAGTATAGAGCTAACATTGTAATACATTTATTATTGTTCTAGAGACAGTTGGTGCAGGTAAAGACCTCACAACACAACAAAATCTCGCAGGCCCACGATTCTGTAAAAACCCACTGATGAGCGACATTTATAATATTATTGAAAAGGTACAGTATGCCGATGATTGTACTACAGCGCACTGTAAACCACATGTCATTCTTCTAAATAGATTGCGTAGAAAACAGTAACTGATTCTTCGGAGGGCAACACAACACGACACACTGGAGACAGTTAAAAGACTATTAGAATTTTATACAACAGTATATATGAAAAATGGAAAAACAATTGGGAATCCTAGAAGAAGAAGAAAATTATATGTGCACTATACAGATTTATAAAGGAAAAAAGTGCTATACTGATATAGATCTGAATCAAGTTTTGACGGAACATGGACGTTTATCCATGTACTTTAATAGATTTGCCCTTGCAGGAAAACAATCTTTGTCGGCTATGTAGAGTAATAAGAGGTGATGTTCACTTCATTGAAACCTGGGGTCTGACTGCTGGTATTGGAGATAAAATGAAGATTGAATTTCCAAGAGATCTTAAGGACTATAGTAAAATGCTGTTTTATTCCAGGGAAATAATGAATGTTATCAACGCACAGAGATACTTGACTGGAATAGATGTGTAAATGATGTGTATCTGTTTTCTTTTCTTTATGTGTCGTTTTATTACATGTTCAACTGTTTATTCTTCTTCTTCCTTTATATTCTTTCTTCCTTCTGTTTCTTCTTCTTCTTTTTTTTTTTTTTTCGTTTTGTCGAGTTGGCCTCTAAAAGCTTTGTGGATGAATCATCGGCCGGGGGGAGCTGGGGGTTTCGCCTTTGTAGTAACGTAGTAACAGGAGACAGTTAATAGAATACTGAAATAATTATAACTTTGAGGGAAAACACTAGGCAAATGTGAAGTTGAAAGCCTCGTTATTAGGCTGAGAATAAAATTGGTTCGCTACAAACTTTTTTCCTTCTTAAAAAAAGGAACAACAGTTTTAAAAAATTATATGTTTTCTCAAGCTGTCTTAATTTTGTTACATTTATCTCATATTTTTACTTCTTTTTAAAACTTTTTAACCAGTCAATGGTTAAAATGCTAACAATGTTCATTTGCTAATTTGTGATTTTTAGATTCTTACACGGATACATTTCATAAGCTTACAAACTTTTTTTTCCTTTTTGTTAACTTTCGTTAACTATTGCATGTGAATTATCGTTTTAATTTCGTTGCTTTTAAAATTCTGCAAGTTTGTTTTCGGTGGTTTTTTTTTTTTTCCTCTCTGGTATTTTAATAGATAATATTTTGCCCTGTTTTCTAGGCAGTTTTTTTTACTCTTATTAGTTCTTTGCTATGTTTTTATACTCCTAAAATATTCCACTTTAAATTTCATTTTTAACTACCTTATATATCGATAATGGAGTTCAAAAATCTAATGGTATGTCAAAGGATCTAATGCTACGAAGTATAGCTACATCTTGCAGTGTTCGGTTTTTTTTTAGCGAACTAGCCTTCCGCGTGACAATTTGCTCATGAGTAACGTAAACAGAGACATTTTTCCCTCGAGAATTCTCCACAAAGACATCTCTATTTTACGGAAATATCCTTCATGATCTTTAAGCAGGAATAAAATTAGTAAAAACAGTGATCATAATATGATTCCCAAGAACGAAATCATGAAGATGATAATCAGTTTCCTGAATTATGAGGAAAAGAATGCGCTTTTGAAGTTTATTTATTTATTTAATTATTTTTTTGTGTGTGGGAAATTCGGTCATGCTTTCCTTACAGCCTAGGCAAATTACAAAGACCTCACGCAGCCTGCTCCTTGGGCCAAAATACAGCAAATCCGGAATGGCAAACTAATATTCTGTGGCCTCAGTTAGTATACCGCTAAGAAAAGTAAATATAACTGCTACAGTTTAATGAAATCAGTTATGCTTTTCTCCATTAATTCATTTAAAAGCATGTGTGAATTATCTTCCGCAGAATTATTTTACATTACCATTCTTTTTCCTCCACATGACTGTGGGCTTGGGATATCCCCGGGTGAAGCAGTCGAGGGCAGCCGTCTGTCCACCCATCGCAGATAAATCTTTTGGTTCCTGCACCCATTGTGGAGACACTGCAAAGAGAAAACTAATATGATTCACTCACTTCTCTCAAGAGGTGAATTTGCAAAGCAAATATATTTAATGAAAGATCAATATGTTTCTTGAAAAACATGGCTCGAAATTAAATTTGATATTTAAACTATAAAACTGACAGATGTGTTAGCAAAATTACTTTGAATTTTCAATTTCGCTTATAGTTAGTTATAACAAATAATAAATGCAAAAAATATGCACATTATATTGTTTATTGTGTTTTCTGTCTGCTTTTATTTAAACCTTCAGTAACTTTTAAGCAAGATAGCTTTTTTGTTTGAGAAGATAAATTCACCCTCCCCTCATATCGTGAGCGAAGTCTTATTTTATTTATTAAGATATTACACTAGGGAGAAGGAATTATTTTTAGAATTTAAAAAAAAAATTACAGTTAAATAGTTATGCCATTTTTTAATAACTGTAAAATTATCAAATGCATCGATATTATAGGGTAAGCAAACAGGATTTAATCACATATACTAGGCATATTTTATAATAAATATTACATAATACAATGATAAAGATTTGCTGAAATATTTAATCATGAATCATAATCTTTATGTCATTTCCATAATCACAAACGTCTACACAACAGCAGTCTCTCATTACGACATAAAAGAATGAATAAAATTGTTAAATAATCTGAATTGCAAATACCCTTAACCTTCCTTCCAAATCAGTAAATATTTAGAATTAATAAGTTATTAAATGATACGATTTAAATAAATATGGAAACTGCTAAAATTTTATGGGCATAATCAAAATCTTCCAAAGGAATCTGACTAAATTTCTATTTCCTTCAGAGCAGCAGAAAAGAAAAAAATATTCAGCAAAATCCAAATATATATTCTATATTTATAAAGCAAAGCAGTAATAACAATTTTTGAAAAACCAATTTTGGTCAAGAAAACATCTTGCGCAATATGCTGCAAAATAAGTAAAAAATAAAAATTGTAGAAAGCTCGCCTAAAAGTTACCAAGAGCTGCTGCTCCAAAAGGTTTAAGACGTTTTCAAAAATTAATACACATGAAAAGCAAATCATTAGACATGTAAAACATAAATACAATAAAATTAAAAAACAGAAAAAGTTAAAAAGTAAGCGGAAAATGGTAAATTAGCCAAATTCGACATCCAAACAGGCTTTTCAAGGGAAATTTCATTTATTTGAACGTCGAATCAAGCTAACCCCATTACGTGTTTCGCCGAAACAGACAATTGAAACTTTTTCGCTAAAAATTTTTTTGACAAAGTAGGCCCAGCCCGAATGTATTTGTATTTTTAGGACTAATAGCTCATCGCTATTTATTTTCGTTTTGATTTTAATTTTAGACTAGATTTAGAAAGTTTGATTTTGATTAACATATTTTAACACCTTAATGTGTCATTCTGAGCGGACGCGTCGGGAAATTGGAACAGAGAATTGAGACTATTAAAATTTCCAAGACACTTTGTCAAAAAAATTTTTAGCGAAAAAGTTTCAATTGTCTGTTTCGGCGAAACGCGTAATGGGGTTAGCTTGATTCGACGCTCAAATAAATGAAATTTCCCTTGAAAAGCCTGTTTGGATGTCGAATTGGGCTAATTTACCATTTTCCGCTTACTTTTTAACTTTTTCTGTTTTTTAATTTTATTGTATTTATGTTTTACATGTCTAATGATTTGCTTTTCATGTGTATTAATTTTTGAAAACGTCTTAAACCTTTTGAAGCAGCAGCTCTTGGTAACTTTTAGGCGAGCTTTCTACAATTTTTATTCTATATTTATAAAACATAAACACAAAATTCATTAAATTGCGTATATAGAGAAAACACTTAAGGCTGCATATATTTAGTAAAGTTAAGAGAAAAAATTAAAATTAACACTGGAAGAAAACTCCCGTTGAAAAAGAACAGAAACAAATAAATATTTTAGTAATTCTCTAAATAAAATAATAGCATGATAGAATTAACAAAACAGATATACATGTCAAAGCAAATAATCACTATCTAGAATATGTTTGCAGAGCAATATTACTGAGCTTTTAAGTATAATTTCATTTAGAAGAAAAAATATAAATAAACAATTTAGAAGATATGTAATGCAGTTTAATTTCTAAATCCAAAGCAAAATATGAAGAAATAATTCAAAACGAATGAGAGAATACTTCAGTTAATATAAAGCACGTAAAATAATGTAATTTTAAACTAGACATCTTGCCATGCTCACAGGTACTAGTTACCTAAGCGTTCCTGTTTAACACGAATAGAAAGATAATTTCTTTAATTTAATAATAAAAATCGCTGTTGTTTAACACTTATTTTTAAATATACGTATAAAAATATCTTAAAGTTTTAAAAATGATACAAAATTATAATTTCCGAGTTGTACAATTCATTATACAATGTACTCATTGACCAACAATAAGATCCCAAAACACACACGTTCACATACAAAATGACATATATTTCCAGCATCTAAACCTCACGCTATATAGTACTGGTTCATTAATATGATTTTTAATTTAACTGTCATAAAACACCTAAAATGTTTTTTTAATACAAGATATGTAAAAATACAAGAAGTAAATTCAAGTGAGAAATTTATCTGCATAGAACATATGTGAACACTTATGAAATAATAAAGGCAATAAATTCACATAAAAAGTTTTTACATAAGCAAATACATTTATTTTCATAAAATGAAATGCATCTGAATTGTTAGTGAGATTCGGTATTTTGCACAATGAAACTGGATGTAACGCTCGACAAAAATTATAAGATTTGCGAGCTCAAATGAACTTCTGCGCCATTTCCAATTTTTCTTTCATATCTAACGTCGACGACTTCCGTCTGCATTGAACGTTTGCAGCATACATGTGATATAAAAGGCTGAACTGTGTTATGTCCGTAGGACTGTGTTATGTATAAGTGTGTAAACGTCTGCATTATTATTTAATTTTCCTGTTTCTGGAATAAACGAATTTTGTTTTCGATACACAAGCTGAATAGTTTTCTTGGTGTTAATACAGAGTTGCTGTTTTTCACAGCTTGTATTTTGCTATTGTCTTTCTCCTGGGCTAGAAGTTAAGATTCTCAAAAACTTAGCAGCGTGTTTCAATCCACGTTTATCATTAATACATAATACAAACCCCCGAGTATCTATCATAACACTATCATTATAGACTATAAAGAAGTTTATTTTTCACAATGAACAAGATTTAAACCTTTACATTTTACTTTTACGTAATTTGGAGTTAATCATTAAGTATCACCAAATGAACAGTTGTTTAATTTCTCCAGCAAATTCAAATATGCAACTGAAGCACTAATTCAAAAGATGACGCATCAGAAAATTATAGAAAATCAGAATAATATCCCAAACGGAGAGATTATTTGAAATGCATTACATATGAACATACACACACATAAGTATAGAAGAAATAAAACTCAATACATATTTCATATTCAAAGGTTTTTTATATAATACATAAGCATCTATTTATAGAAAATATAATATATGTGAAAGATTATCCCAAATATGCTCTTAACATTTTTATTTATTTAACAGTGCTTCTGCGTGTTAAGTACTCGCATAAGTGTGAAAGCAAAGACCATATTCTGTACGATTTTTCCACAGAGCAGAAATCAGTCTTTACAAATTTACACTGTATGATAATACGTGAAACTTTACAAAAGTAAATGAAAAAAATTAAGTTTTTGCATGGCGAAAATATAAAGAAATCGAAATAAAAAGTTTTGTTTTTTCAGATACATTTATTTCCCCTTCATAATTAAAAGCCCATCATCACCATTCTCTGTTCTCAGCACAGAAAAATGTTACAATAATATGTGGTAATATGTGGAATTTTCCACACATTCAAGTGTACACACAGGAAAAAGTCAGTTAGGAGAGAAAAACCAGCAATAATTCTTGAATATAACTTTATTACAGTATTTACATATGTTTAACACACTTATACAAAACAACACTTATACAAAACTTAAACAGCACTTATACAAAAAAAAAAAGGTTTATTCGCAAACAATCGCGAAATAATTTGAAAGGTAAAAATTAAAAAACAATAATTTTGCAACTTACAAGAGTAATTTTTTGCAAGTACAAAGGGTCTTTGACCTTTGAAAGCAGATCTGCCCAAAAGTGCACGGACTTCATTAGTACCTCAAGATTTCATACTTGAGGTCTTATAAATCTGTTATAAATTAACAACAAAATGCATTGGGACAAAAGCAATACTGAAGCGTGGTAGATGTCCCTACAAGTCACCAGTCTATTTATTCATACTCGATAAAAAGATCGCACATTACGAAGTGTTCAAAAAATGTAGCTACAGACATATCTTTGTAAATATTATTGATTCCAAATGGTTATTTTAGTTACAGTTTCTCAAAATGATTTACAAAAATCTCATGAAAATAGTTTTAATACTACGGATGGGTGCATTCTCTAAATATAAAATAAGTTTATATGTTGCCCTGTAGAGCAAAAATTCCAGTTAGCAAAATGGGCATAATAATGTTTATAAGTTAAACACAAAAATATTTATACCTTTCCAGTTCAAATTTTGAGAAGACATTAGAGAAATTTTGAGAAGACATTAGAATTTACTCATTGAGATCATTTTACAACGTTTCCATCTAGCAAATTTAAGATCCCCCCCCCGGTGCTATGCACAACATGAGAAAAAATATGAAACAATACCGATTATTATTCTCATACCGACTAAGGCGGTGTTCTTTATGTAGTTTTTAACTAGTACCATGGAACCATTAATAAGAACTATCACTGTGCATTTTGTATATAAAGATACGAAACTTTTTGTTTTTAACTTACAAAAGAGCAGTGAATAGTTTAGTAACTGGAAGCTTTGCTTTCACTAGGGCTATAAAATAACGCTAAATTTTGGAAATCTTCATCCCTAAGTGTCGTATTGGTTTTCATAAAATTCTCTACTTCATAGTCAGAAACTTATATTGGAAG